ACCAACCAGAGATCCTATCGATCATCCTCTGTCTAATGTCCACAAAGAGCGCTCTCGAGAGGTGACCCTTATATAAAGGGGCACCGAGGTAGGTAATGGGAAGGTCGCTGAGCCCTTATCAAAGTCAGTGATCTCATGGATCCGCTGAGCCCAACTGTCCGTGCTAGAGGAGGAGAGGGTGAAGGTGCTCTTCTGCACACTGATCAGCTGGCCGGTAACTGAGCTATAGTGCTCCAGAAGGTGCATAAGCTCGATCAGCCCATCAACATCCGCCTGAGTGAAGATGATGATGTCATCTGCATAAGAAAGGTGCGAGATGGGAGGACCATAGCCACGGGTGCTGTATGTCATCCGTGGATAGTCGCAGATGAAGCCGTCAAGGCAGCGAGAGAGGTAATCTGCCGCAAGGACAAAAAGGGATGGGGAAAGGGGGTCACCCTGTCTAAGGCCCCTAGAGGAGGGAAAGAAGTCAGTGGGGTTACCATTAACCAGGACCGAGAACGTGCAGTGCTCCACACACGCCTCAACAAAACTGATCCACCGCTCAGGTAATCCTATCCTAGTCAGTCCCTCCCTAAGAAACGGCCACTCCACCCTATCGTACGCCTTAGCCATGTCTAGCTTGAGCGCAAGGTTCAGTGTCGGCTTCCAATCCGCATGGGAGATATCGTGGATCATCTCCTGGGCCAAAAGTATGTTGTCACTAATGACCCGATCCTTGACGAAACCACTCTGGTTCGGAGAGATGAGGGAGGGGAGAAGAGGGGAAAGGCGGCCATTAAGAATCTTCGAAATGAGTTTATTGGTCACGTTACACAGGCTGATGGGCCTGTAGTCGGACCAATAGCTCGGATTGGGTCTTTTGGGAATCAAGACGACAGAGGTAGTAGTGAAGGAATTCGGCATCCGGTGATCGGAGAAGAAATCCAACATAGCCTCCTCAACATCAGGCTCGACTATATCCCAGCAGACCTAATAGAAGAGGGAAGAGAACCCATCGGGGCCAGAAACGCTGTTGGGATCAATCCCAAAAACAGCATCCCTAATTCCCTACTCGGGAGCTCACAGAGGCCGACGAGGTCGACCGAAGGAGGAATGGTGGGAAAGAAAGAAGCGATCGGGGCATCGAGAGCCCCTCTGTCGGAGGTAAAAATGTTCTGGAAGTGGGCAGTAGCCGACTCCCGAATATGAGACTCTTGGGTCAGGAATGACCCGTCAGCCTCAATACTGTGAATGTGCGATTTAGCACGCTTCTGTCTAACAAAACCCAGCGAACGGCCGCCTTATGCTTCCATAAATCCTCCTCCATAAGGAGTCGGAGCTGGTACTCTGCATGGCAGCAACGCATCGCAGTCCTATTCTCCGGAGTGGGGTCCAGATCATAGGCCCGCTCAGCCTCCGCATGCGTACTCTGAGCCACAGAAAGGCGCTGATGGAGGTTTCCAAAAACATCCCAGTTCCACTGTCTCAACCTGCGCCGCAGTCTGCCGAGCTTCGCCTCGAGATTGCGCATCCCGAAGAGCCCAGTCGGCTGAAGCCAGGAATCCCTGACAGTGTCATGGAAGGAGTGGTGGCGAACCCACATGTTCTGGAACCTAAAAGATGAACGGTGAGGGGTGCTCGAAAATTGACACCTAATGAGGAGGGGTGAATGATCAGACCCAAATCGAGTGAGGTGTGAGACGGTCGTGACCGCAAACACCTTCGACCACGCCTCAAAAACTAAGGCACGGTCGAGTCTCTCTTTGAGATCGTCCCTAACCCACGTAAAGGGCTCATCCTCACATCCAGCGTCAATCAACTCACAGTCCACCACAGCCTGAGCAATGTCCCACATCTCCCTAGAACGATCCAAAAGGCCACCCACACGCTCATCGGGGTGCAGAAAGATGTTGAAATCGCCACTAACCATCCATGGCAATCCCTCAATGCTCTCAGCAATCTCACGCAGGGTGTCCCAGAGGTCATATCTCCCGACCCTATTACACTTGGCGTAAACCAAGGTGTGAAATATGGGCTCGGGGAGGTGGGCCGCAGAAAGCTCGACATGAAGCACCTGGTCGGTATCTCAGAGAACCCGACAGGTGTAGTCACGCAAGTGGAAGAACCAGATCTTATGCGAAGTGTTACCCATGCCCGAGTGGAAGCCAAGGCGGCGTGAGTAATAGTCAAAATCAGGGGTGCGAATCATCGGCTCTAAAAAGCCAACGAAGTCCAATCTATGATCACGTATGAGAGAGTG